CTCTCTCTCTCTCTCTCTCTCTCTCTCTCTCTCTCTCTCTCTCTCTCTCTCGCATCTTTCTCACTCAATTTGTTGGAAAGGAATGACACACAACGTGGGAGTGCTTGTTAATGCAAATTTCTTCTGTTATTTATTATAATTCGATAAACAGCCATGTTTATGTTCATTTCATAATAATTTATCAACAATTTGTTCCAGAACGTACATTAATGCATAATTTGATATCTACCTGTTTTATCTAAGCATCATATATATTCGTTGATGCAAAGAAGCATGGAAATCGCTTTTTAAGCAAATTTTACACGATATAACACGTATAAAAATTTTACATTTCGACATTTTGTGTTATTATTTTAATTATTCTGATTTATCTCCACTACTAAGAATATTCGATTTTTTTACTTTCGTTCCGACGAATGGTTCAGCTATACATTTAAGCGATACGACGCGAAGGGATCGTAATTTCCGGCGATTTAAATCTATAATTAATTTCACGTGTATTTAATAAAAGAGATACGAATATATAAATTATACTGCAAGTATAAAGAAGTTAACGAGTCCTTTTTAGGTGCTCTTTCGCCGACGGCAGCGACCCTTCCGCGGCCACCCCGAATTCATTTCATCCCCCTCATAAACGCCGGTAAGAGGGCTCTCTGCCGTGCCGCAGCGAGTCGGTAAGGGATGAAATCCGGCGATTCGTCGCGGTCACATCGGAAAACTTGATTTATCGCGAGCACCAATTTATCGGAATTTATACGTTCAATTGCCGTGACCTTTGCTAGCCGCGGTTAATTTCTCACGCGGCTCCTGTAACGCCGCAAAAATATCGGGTGTCGGCTGGAAACAAGAACGGTCAAAACACCGGGCGTGCTTTCCTCTTTTTTCAGACAACGGCCAACCTGTTATCGTTCTCGTTTCGGCGCAAACCGCACGCCGATTAATCGCTTGAAAATCTTCCGCCGGGCCGGGTTCACGGTCGGCGTGCGGTTTTTTCGCAGATTCGCCGAAAACCGCGCACCTAGCCGCAGTGAGAGCCTTCATTGTCGTGGAAATTCACGCGGTGCGAGCCGGACCGATGAGATTCGGGTCGGCCGCGACAACGACGATGACGACGGCGGCGGCGTCATCGCCGACCTGAGGAGAGGAAAAACGACAGGAGGGAAAGAGGGACAGAGAGAGAGAGAGAGAGAGAGGGGGAGGGAAAAATACCACAAGGGAGAAAGTTCGAAATAGCGGAAGGAAGTGCATCGGTCGGAGGAAATGGGTGTGTTCGCTTCATCCGGCTTATTGCTCGCTCGCCGCTGGAAAAATGTTGTCGTCCGCCAACTCGTCCCGCGTCGCACTACCCTGTCCCGCGGACAATCGCCCGCTCGCCATCCGCGAGAGTAAATCATATCGATTTACGGATGTCGCTCCATGGGTGACGATCCTTCGCGCGTCTGTCGACGTCGCGGCCGGAACTGTGAGCAAATAAAATTCACGCGATCTGGAAATTGTTTTTATTTGGATTTACCGAGAGAGAGAGACAGAGAGAGAGAGAAAGAGAGAGAGGCAGAAGAGAAAGAGAGAAGAGAGAAAGAGAGAGTCCACCATTCACCGGAGAGGAATTCATCGGTCGTGCCGACGTTTTTAAGGCGATGGACCAAAAGCCACTCGTGCGGCACAGAAACCACGCGCGAGTTATATTTCGTTGTTTTCCGATCAATTGCATATTGTTTGACGTCCGTCCGCGTACTCGCAGCGATAACTCGCCAGAAATATTTTAGTTCACGATCGCGAATAGCGTCATACATGCCGCGTTTAGAGAAAAGAGGAGATAGGTAAGTGCAAAAGCGAATAATGATGAACACAGGTGATTGATAACACAAATGACAAATAGGAGGTGTTGCATGCAGACACATGCGTTTGATATCGCTCCAGGGTCTCGCCATATATGGATAGGGAAAATTACAAGTCACCTTGGTGAGGAGAAGATCTCAGCTGAGGATTACAATGTTAAGTCAGCGAGACCCGAACGAATGTTCGATCGCTCACCAAGTTTCGCAAAGGGTTCGGGAAACAATCAAAATAACACCAATATGTTTGCAGATTTCAATTTTATTGCACTACTATGTTGCAGCCAAGACTTCTCTGTATTCCTAGAAAAAATGTGTAAAATATTGATTTTCAACAAGCTTATGATAGCTTAAAGTTGCTTGGACCAGATTGCCCTGTATATTCAAAAAAGATATAATTCTATGCGGAGTTAAGACGAAATGAATTCGGGGAAGGGGAACTTCTATAATTGAATACAACAGAATTTTCCCTTGGCAATATTTTTGCCAACAAAACAACGAAGGCTCAGATCGAAGACTGCGAGTACCGACCGACAACTTTAACCGCCAATTTGTCACTTGCACGTCAGCGTTATTTCTGCAAAGTACATTTTCTTCGTAACACGAGGGGGCATTATATGATACAGATGGAAAACATTTTCCGAAATAAAGTCGAGCGCGTTCTCGCGGTAGATATAACTTACGCCACGATCGTTTTAATCGGCCCATTTATAAGGATCGTTTTACTTTCGCGCGTGTTCGGCCGTCCGTGTTTGTCGCGAGCCCGAAACTTTTTTTTCGGCGTTTCGAGCGCGCGCGGGACCGCGTGTAGCCAACGCCGGTCAATTTCCTCGATGTCGGCACGGCCGACACCGAACTGCACTTCCCAGATCGGTCATCGCGCGCACGAGAAGCGCCGTTATTTTTTGTATTTTTATTTAGCCTCGAGGATCAGGCGGGTGTGGGTCGGGGGAGGAGGCGGGAGTGGTCGGACCCCGTCGGGAATCATCGAAAAATCACGCGTCTCGTGACGCGGACGTGGGAACCCGGCCGAGCGTCATTGGTTCCCGATATTTCCGCAGCTCGGCGTGAGCATTGGAAGGACACAATCCTCGCGCCTGATTAAACAGCACGCTAATTCGGCAAACTCATACATCCTGAAGCGAGCGCGTCGGTAAACTGACGTCGTACAAACAGGACACCCGTTGAATCCTACGAAAATATTGATTGGCGGTGGAGTTTCGCGGATATACGTAGGACTCCTTTGTACGCGTGACAAATATGCGCGGTCCCGCCTATTTAGGATGGCCCCCGGAACACGCGTACCGAAACAAAAATACGGCGGCCTCGCGAAAATATCAAAAAAAAAAGAGGGGAAAACAGAGAGAGAAAAAAAAAACGGGGGGAAAAGAGGAACCTCGCGGTCGATAGGCGAGAAATTCGCGTGTAATCGCGAGGCAGTCCGGCGCGGCGCGATATTGAAATTTACGTCATGCGTGTTACGAAGGCTGCTCAAATTAGAATCTCATGTGCCAGGCACGAGAGAGTCCAAGTGTGATATACAGTCCAAGTGTGCTAAAGTATATTATTTAAATATCCCGAGTCGAAATTTTGATCCTACTTTCAGCTTTACTATTCCATTCTACATCTATTTTCATATTCTGAAACCTATATCAACCTCTTTCGATTCTACTTAATCTAGCCGAGTCGAAATTTTTATCCTACTTTCAGTCTCACTATTCCATTCAACATCTATTTTGACACTAAAGAAAGTGAAAAGGGAAATTTCGCACATCATCGGAGTCAAAGTAGAAGTAAGTTGTATCATTAGAATTAAACCTACTTTGCTAAATTAGTTCCTTATGCGTTGCAGAGTTCGAGGTTTAATTTAGGGCACCCCGAAATTTCGACTAGGGTGCCAAGTCGGTATTTCCTCCCATTCGTTGCAAAATAATTTTTCATTATTGTATTTGGGGAGGAAAGTTCAACGTGACTTTGCTCAATACTGCGCTCGTTTAAAAGACAAAACCTATCTATCGTGCGTAATTTGCTATAAGGATTGTCCAAATGTATACGCCCGTGTTTCTACGACCTCTTCTTTTTCCATCGTCACGTTTAGTCGCGTGACCATGCATTAATGCCGCTTCTGGCCACGATTGCACGATTTTTTACTGGACTAAAAAAAGTACATATATATATACACGTACAACGACGAATTTATTCCGAATGGCACGGAGCTACGAGAAAAATGATCTCGCCAGTTTTCAAGAGAGAGTAGAGTAGAGTAGAGAGAGAGAGAGAGAGAGAGAGTAGACAAATTCAAAAGCTCTATAAACTGTCATAACATTGGTGCATATTGTACCAACGACGAATATTGGACTTTTAATTGGCATCGGCATTAAGTAGTACACCGCTTTAAGTGCCGCAGACTCGATACTTTTTAGCAATTTTTTTCATGCATTACGTTTAATTTGGCCAAGTTTGCCTCGTGACCGAATCACGAGTGGCCATCAGTCGCGTGTCATTGTGAAGAGGATATCTTAATTTCGTAAAGTACATCATGTCTCAATTAATTTTTATCCAGCATAAATACACACCTGCGAGTTAGGGGGTGTCAAGTCAAGACGCGTTCCTCGTGTTCCATATCGATCGCGACAAAAATATTACGATCGCGGCACGGCCGCGATCTCTAATCTTTGCTGACACCGGCACGGTGGTCCATGAGAATCGACCCGCATGTTTCTGCGGCTTACGCGAACCGAACTTTGATATTGCGACGTCCCAGGGGGAAAGTAGAGCCCGCTCGTTCTATCTTCAAAGTCCCCTCGTACGAATCACCCATCCTCTTTTCTCCTGCCGTTTGTCTCTCTCCCTTCCACCCTCGTCACGCGCGCATTCGTGTCGAGTAAGCCGCTTGGTCATCCATCGGCACTTTCGTGTGCGTTTGCACATGGAGCCTGGTGTTTCGCTCACCCCGCGTGTGGGTGTGTGTGCATGCCCTTCGTCTGTGAAGGTACGTGTGCACGAACGCGCGTAGAGAGTAGTATCTTCTACAATCCGGCGAGACACTTCTTGCGATACGTGTATCTCCAACTAGACTCTTGGTCAGGCCTATCCTTTCGCGAATGAAGAGGCCCTTGACGTGCGACATTAGCATGAGAAATGTACCTCGTTGTCGCGACGGGGAGCAATTTCGCAGATCCCCGTGATTGACTCAGTCAACTCATTACTTCATCAGGGTTATGCATTTACGTGCAGACGTGAATAGAAATGCAGGAATAAGCAAATGGATGGAATTGGCGAGAGAGAGCCCGATGTCCGATGGACGGGTTCGTACGGTTTTCTAGGTTGGTATATCTCCGCGTACGTAACCCAGTATAATACCGACGCGGCGGTGGTGGAGATGGTGGTGGCGGCGGCGGCGGCGGCGGCGGCGGCGGTGGTGGAGGTGGCGGCGGCGGTGGCGGCGGCGGCGGTGGCGATAATGGTGGTGGTGGTGGTGGCGGCGGCGGCGGCGGCGGCGGCGGCGATGGTGGCGGCGTCGTCGCCGACGAGTGTTTCTGCCTGCCGACGAACCGCCGCCACCGACCGACGGTGGCCCAGGCTCGCGTCTCTCATTGATTACGCGAGAAAGAGGGAAAATTCCGGCCGTGCGTGCCTGGAAAGGTGGCGTAGGCGTGGCAACGCGTCGGCGTCTCGGCGCCTTATTCGTTGAAAACTTTGCGCAAAAGCACCGCCCCGACCGCGCGCGAGCGCGATGTCCTCGACACGTGTGCGTGAAGCCCAGCTGGGCTTCCCGAGGACCTAGCACGCCGGTGTAACGTGCGGTCGTGCGGCGGTGTGCGTGTGTGAGAGGAAAGAAGAACGGGGAGGATGCCAGGTGCCCCCGCCGCCGTTGCCGCCGCTGTTACCTCCGCTTCGACTGCCTCCGCCGTCGCTCCTGCTGCCTCCGCCACCTCCGCCGCCGCCGCCGCCGCCTTCCCTCGAGCCCACCGTTCCACTCGTCCACGGCGACGGCGCCATCATTCCCCGCCAATTTTTTTCAGAGGCTGGCTCCCTCTGCGCAGCCGACACCGGAACTGCCGTTCTCTTTCTCTCTTCTCGCCCTCTCATTCCTCCTCTTTCCGACGCGCTTTCTCTCCTCTACCATTTTACTACTCCCTCGCCCCCTCTCTCCGCGCGACTGTCCCTCCTTCGCGCAACCCAGCCTGCGCGCCCTTCCATCGCGCTCGTTCGGCTTCGTTCGCTGCTCGTCCCTTTTCCGTCCTCGTTCCGGCGACCGCGCTTCGCCTCCTCTTGCTCTTCGTGCCCGTCGAAGAACGACGGTGGGAAGGACGCGCCGCGAAAAGGGACGACAAGGGCGAGAGCAATAAAAAGGGGGAGATCCTCGAGCGCGATGATAAGCGTCGAGAGGGGTCTCCTCCTCGTCGCGAGAGACGAGAGGGTCGATTTCCGGTGGTGGGAATTTTTCTCGGCGCGGAGGCGGCGTACACGCCAGCAGCGCCCTCGTCTCTATCTTCGTCCGCTTTTCCTTTTGCAGCGCTGCAATCGACGACTCTATTACTTCCGCGAAAGGGGAGAGAACACGCGACGTAACGGAGGAAGACGGAGAATGGCCGAGGGCTGTTTGACGTACGGGGTGGACG